TTCAGATAGTATGTCTATAACTGTGCGCCAGCTACACAATGCAAATCAGTGTGCGCAAGGTCAGTGTTCCAATTGGTTGGCGACATGTTTGAGACACATTTGACACACTTTGCGACACGTTGCCCGGCCCAAAGAACTGGTATTTTTCCATAACGAAATCGATCTGTACAATATCTGCATATATGCTAAATAATTGTTATTTAATACTTCGATTTATGAAGCCCAACGAATCTCGAAAAAAAATTCATAAATTTTTCAACAACTCAAATATTCCGAAAATTTAATTTTCTTATGTAAAATAATAAAGAGATCTGCTATCAATTTAGAGGGCAAGCCAATGACAGAAATATTAAAACAAATTCAATTCTATGATAAAAGAAGAAGAAACTTTACAGCTAGTTGCAAATCGAAAGAGAACAAAGGAGTAGAATTGAAATTGAAAAAGTTGTTGGTATTAGATTCATGCTTAGAAAATGATGTTGCAAAATGTATGGCACTTGCAACTTGTGGCAACTCTATTAGGCCACACAGAAGATGCAACTTTTACTTTCAGCGGCCAGACAACACAGTCAAGGAACCAGCCGCAACCTCTGCGCAGCGACAAACAAACAAACAAACAGAGTGACGGACGAGCGTCTAGGGATAGGGGGTGTAGGGGTTAGGAAAAACTTATGTATTTTCTGATGGCCACATGCAACAGAGAAATATGACAATACAATGACGACAGTTTGCACGGACGATGCCAATGGAGCGAGCAGACGAAGCAGGCGCAACGCATTCGTACATATCAGCGAAGACAAACAAAACGCACGATGAAAAAAATGAAAAGAAACAAAAAAACAGTTGAATAGAGAGAGATAGATGTAGACCGAACTGTAAATGCTCTAATAATGCCAAGATTAAGGTAAATGTGTGATATGCTAATTGGCTGACTAAAGTTAACTCTAAATATTAACAATAATAGAATTGAGAACTTCGGTATTCTTATAGAGAACATACATACGTATATAATATTAATACTTCCGAAAATATTAGAAAATTTTATAGAGGATATATGTATGTAATATTCGAAGTTTCGACAATATTAGTAATTTGTCGTCATATAGAGACATATATTATTTTAGTAGTATTCAAAATAAATTCGTTCCATGCACTAAAGATGTGCAAATATTTTAAGGTCTATAGAGGTTTTAAAAGATATTATTGTACTTGAAAAGCGTTTCACCCTATAAGCAAAATGTAAATATGATTTCCTATTGCTAGTACTTATTAGATATTATTATATTAGATATAAAGCAGCAATAGTTTAGTGGCTTTATCATGCTATCCCGCTTATCTAATCAAAATATTTGCAAAACAAATTAACCTAATTTTTTGATTGATTGTTTCTGAGTGATATAACTGGAGGACAACGTTGATAAGATTAATTCAGAGAATATCAAGTAATCTTAGAATTGCCAAGAAGACAAAGATTGTTATGCTAATAGATCGTACGATATGGATGAGGATTTGAATGTATTATATATATGTATAAATATATATTATAATACAGTCACTTGAACTATATAATTTTACTAAATATAGATATATATATGCTTATAAAATCGTACATATTAGGTATGTAAGTTTATTACTACCGATTGATAGGGTATACGAGAAATGTTTGCAGCGGCGCATGGCAGCACGGTGGAAGTGGCAAAGTGGCACCGGCAACAGCAGCAGCAGCAGCCACGCTCGAGCTAGATGAGGGCCTGAGGCCTGCCAAGGAGTCGAAAATGCGGAATGGGAGTAGGAGATGGAGATGGAAATGGAGATGGAGATGGAGTTGCCTTGTTTATGAATACGCGGGCATTGTGTGCCGAGGCGACGAGGCCCAAAAGATACGCAGCGCACACACAATACAGATACAGATACAGCTAGAGCTACAGCTACAGATACAAATACAAATACAGATGCAGATAGACATGTGCAATGTTTGAGAACTAAACAAGGAAATATTGACAAATAGATTAAAACTTATTAAGGCAGCAGCAGCAGAGGCAGCAGCAGCAGAGGCACCATAGGCACCATAGGCAGCAGCGCAGTTGCTGCAAAAATGTTGCATGCCGCGTGGGGGCTGCTGCCTGACATGTTGTCGCGTCTGTTGCGCGTGGTTTGACGCACGTGCAACTGGCACAGCAACAGGCGCTGTCGCAGCCACAGATACTTATGGGCTCTGTGCAGGTTGAGGTAGGTCCGGTTGCTGTCAGTCGGAGCCACTCATTGCCAATATTTATCATCAAATATGGTCGAAATCTATATTTAGACGCTGACGCTGATCGACGCTGATCAAGCGAACGAGATCGACTCGCATTCGGTTTTATTTATTCTCGTTTTGTTTTTTTGCTTTTCGCTCTTCTTTTTTTTTTTTTTTTTTTTTTTTTTTCTGTGATCATCTTCAGGCCTGACCTCGAGCGCGATCGATCGCGGCTTTCTATTGAAACAATTGGCCACCAAAACGCCAAACACGAGTCTGTCAATATATTTTACCCAAATTTGTTTCACTTTTTTAATTTTTTTTTTTTTTTTTTTTTTTTTTTTTGTGCTTGCCCACACGAGCTGCGATCGCCAACTGATCGCAATTTGATCATATGGCACATATATAGTTAAAGACTCGCTTATTTGGCCAACAAATTTGCCACTTTATGTGATTCATTTAACAAAATATATATGTGTGTGGGTGTCGCAAGTGTAGATCACTGGGTAAGGTCCACTATTCGATCGTTATAGGTATAAAATTATATATATGTATGTTGTTTAAACAAGTGAAGGCAAAGTTATGCGATCCATTGAAAATCGAGAAGTTTGCCAAACTTGAGACACTTCATTATAGACGTTTCACTGTTAACTTGATTGTTTATAGGCTGATCGTAAATATGAATACACTCTCGAGGTGTAAACAAGCTATTGTTATGTATATCAGTTCAGGTGGGGAAATTGATATGCTCTGGCAACAGGTAATAGCTATTGATATTACATACTGAATACGTTATCGCTATGAGTGTTCGATTGTCGCCTTGTTTCTATGCCAAGACTTTTAAACTAACATTGATATTAAGTTTACTTCGTATTAAATTAGATCTCTTTCCTCCCCAAGAACCATACCACAGGATAGATACCTACGTATTGATATCTAAGTAGGAATGTAATTAACCTACACTTTTATTCATTTTTTTTACTATTCACAATGGACTGCACTATAATAAAAAGTGAAATAAACAAAAACAAATTTATTTTTTTAATATTTAATATATTCTCTTTTGTAGGTTTTTTTCAGGGTATTTTATTTTCAACATCTCAAACCCTTTTTCTTGTTAATTAAAATTAAATAATAAATTTTTTTTTTCATTATATGAAAGTGTGATTTTTTGTTTACTGACATTTGCAATAATTTCTGAAATAGTATATTTCTAGGAAATCTTTCTTTGTTTACACTCTTCCTACTATCTGTTCTATCGCACTTCTTTATACATATTCATTTATGTTGTAATCCACAATAATAAATCTTTTGATTATCTGAAATATTTAAAAAGTTGTTTGAACTGACTAATTTATACTTTTACAATATATATACATACATACATATATATGTTATATATTGCTTGTACAACATTAGCAAACATGTTGTCCAGTGTTTTGCTAGACCAGTTCAATTTTCATTTAAGCCACAAATCTCTAAGCAAACAATGCACACACACACACACACACAGTGGGAATTGTACCTGATTGACCAACGTTGAGTGCATTGAGTAAGGATCTGTGCTGATAAGACTGTGGCCCGTCTAAAAAGAACTAGACGATGGTAAATTGCGTGTGAATGGTCATTATGAAAAAAAAAATAAAATAATAATCTATATCTATATATATGTATATATAGATATAGATATACATATGTATACCTCAAGCAGATATCTCATATGTAGGTAAACGCTTTGGAATATCTGGAACTATGAGGTAATGCGCTCTATACAGCAACAACAAAAATAGTAACAAGAGTAACATTTGGTTACCTTTTTGTCATGACGAAAGGAAGAGCGATAAGCAAAAATCGTTGACTTAGCCCGCGGGGCTTATCTAACGCACAGGGAACAATGCAAAAAAAAAAGTAAATGAATAAATAAAAAGGTAAAAGGTAAAAGCAAGCCACGCGGGCGACAACCAAAAGCAGCCAATAGTTGATTTGGCAAAAAACAAAAAATTATAAAAGTAAAGAACATACACGAATACTTATCAAACGTTATTTATCTAAGAAATTTGTTGCTGCTGCTGCTGCGGCGAAGCAAATGACAAAAACGCAAAGAATGCGAGCGCCAGGGCGAGCGCGGCGAGAGCAAACAGTGATGAACCGCAGAGCCTCTCACAGGCGGCGAGAGGTAAAAGAACGATGACGAGATCTTTCTGTGTATTGGTTTAGTGAGCGCAACTGTGAGTGGGTGGCGCAGGGGCATACGCGTATGTGTTGGAGTATTTGTGTGTGTGTGCGTGTGAGTGCGAAATACCGCGGCGATTAGCAATTCGCTGTCAAAACGCATCGAAAGCGAAAAAGCAAGACAAGAAGACAAGCCTCAAGGAAGCACACAGGCAAAGGTGCAATGCACGCAACGAAATGCAGGAGAGCCGGCCGGTCGACCGACCGACCGACCAACCAACCAAAGAGAGCGTCCGGCGAAGAGAAATGCGTGTGCATGTAAAAAGAGTGAGAGCACGCCTGCTGCTTGTAAGTTCAAGTGGTGGGCGAAAAAGTCAACGCCGACTGCAGGCAACGACGAAGTTGCTAATTTTCGCCGGTTAAGTAGCCGCAAGCAACAGCTGAACTTGAACTTGTACGCAACGTGGACGAAACACTCACAGAGAGACAGCCCAAAGAAGACAAAACGGTTGAAGCAAAAAGGAACCGCAGCAAGGACAGTAAAACGAACAGTAATAGGGACAATAAGAGCAACAACAATAGGAACACTTACAGCGCAAATATCGCGACGAGTTGGAAAATTGGTGGCGTTGGCCGCTGCCGTTGCCGTTGCGGCTATTGCTCCAATTCCGAATTGCACGCACACACTCCACACACACTTTACATTAATTCGCGTATCGCGCTTTACTTTACGTTCGCGCACTTCACTCTGCTGGCAGCCGACGCTGTGGCTCTTGCTGTTTACTTTGTATTTTATTTTTATTTTTTTTTACAATTAAATAATAATTATGTTTGTATGTAGATTATTTAATTGCGACACATCTCAAACTAAACAAAATATAAAACAACAACAAAAAATAAATAAATAAATTTAGAAGGAACAGCCGCGCTGTAACGATTCTGTTGCCCCGGCACCGGCCACAACAATAACAATGCCAGCCAGCAATTACTTGTGTAGTACTAGATTAGCCAAAATAATTTCGTACTTAATCGTATGAGCGTGATTAACAATCGCAATCAAATGTATTAAGCTGCCTTTTAGCCGGAGAACTTGAACTCGCGACCGTTTCTCTGACACACTGAAAGAGAGACACACGATCTTCGCGTTACAATTGCGCCAAACAGACTAATCTTGTGGCAGCAATCGATGCCATTATCGATATCACCACATCGTGCTTGCTGCTATCGATAGTTAAACATCTTGCCATTGCATTCGCCACGAGACGCGTTGACGTTTCCACCAGACAGCTCACACATATAGCAAGCGTGAATATATTAATTTTGAATATATAATATGTCAGATATATATGCAAGTAAATAAATTCATTTTTATAGTTATGTTATTAAAAAAGATTCATAAAATGGTGCTTAAAGTTTAATAAAATTGTCGTGGTCTTTGATCTAATTTGCACAGCAATAAGTGCTTTAAACTTGCCAGCAAGAACATCGTAAACAAAGCACGATCATAACTTATCGATATTGTTTTGCCAGTCACACATTTAATTGTGGCGCTTAGTTCAAAAAAGCTAAGAACAAAATGGTAGGGAAAGTGTTTTTTTTTTTTTTTTTTTTTGACATTAAATGTAACACAAAGTTTTAAAGATTAATAAAAACTTAGTTAATGTTGACTAAAAAAAATTAATGGAACACTTTCTTTTTTAATGTCACCTTGAGGACAACTTGCATGCAACAATCAGCAGCAGACTTTTGATGTTGTTTTGTTTTTGTTGTTATTGTCGTGCTTTCCCCTATGCAATCAGAGCAGATTCCACATTGATTACCTCGCAGCCCGCTAAATGCAGCGTCATCGATGGTAGCAGGGATTGGGGGCCCGATTATGCAAGTGCCAAGTGCCCCAGCATAGAAAGTTCGTTAGGCGTAATAAACAGTTCACGTCGTAAACCAGATTTTGTTGTGTTCGCTTTGCTGTTGTTGTTGTTGCTGCTGCTGTGTGGATTACGCACGATTATATTTTATGGGTCAGCGGGAAGGCTGCACAATACAATGCTTAATGGATCATCATAATATATCATTAAGTATATTTTCACTTTTTGCCAAAAAAAAAAAAAAAAAAAAAAAGAATTGGAAGACTCGATTAAATCGATTAAGAGTGATTCTTTGGGTTTTTTTTTTCCTCTTTGTGGTTTAAAATATAAAATATTAACAATATATAAATATAATTAAACACAGTAAAATTAACATATAAATAAACTACTAGAACATATGTATGACTTCTTTTGTTTTGAGTTTAGTTATTATTAAAAAATAGAAAATATTAAGAAAGATAATTAAATATAAAAATTAATAGAATTGTAAAGCAATTATATATAATTCAAAATAATATATATAATATAATATAAATTCAAAATAATTATTTTTTATTTTCTTTGCTAACATAAAAAAGTATTAAATATTAAGATATATAATACATATTAAAAATTTAATTAATTGTATGCAATATTATACCTTTACATTTTGCGGTAAAAATGAACTAAATAAATAAAATAAAATGATTTCGGTGTGATTTTTTTTTCTTTCGTTTTTTATTTTTATTTTAAACATGGTTTGCCTGTGCAGTGAATTTCAGAGCTCCATTCCCTTCCCTCATATCTCTACCAAACTGAGGCTATCCCAAATTTCTTCTCAGCTTTGATTAGGCTAATAGTTAATTCAGTTCATGCGGCTTCTTTCGTCTGGAAATACCTGCTGACAGGTAAATATGTACCAGCTCGATCTTGATGTGTCCCGCGTCGGGCGTCCATTGTCGGCGTCATTGTGGCTGCAGTCGTCATTCCATTGTATCGTCGATCTCATGTGCAAATTATCTCTGCTTGCCAAATTCTAATTGTTTCTCATGCACAACAGCAAAAAAAGGAAAAAACATTAACAACAATAACAATAAGTGATTTTTTCTGTTCACCGAGTTTTTTTTTTTTTTTTTTTTGTGGAGCGTTGCGTGGGGTGTGTACTTTGTTTTGCTTCCAGAAGCTAAACATTGAAACAAGCTGAGTCTGGATTCCGGTTGCCTCGCCCTCGCGCCCCCACGCTTCACCCGCCGCCCTCAAGCGCCGTCACAGCTCTGGCTTATTCGACTGTCATTAAATAGTTCGTTTGCCTCATTTCTCTCTTACCCTGTATTTTTTTTTTTTATTATTTTAACAATAAAACACGGCTAAATCACAAAAACAAAAACAAAAACTGTTCAATTAGCAGCTAAGCAAAAAAAAAAAAAAACACACACAATAAAAAGTTTGAGTTTTTTTTCGTTTTTTGTTGATTTGAAATGTAAAACCAAAAATCATCTTACAATAGCCAGCGAGCCAGCTAGCTCTGGTCTCTCGCTGCCCAGATGCCATGTGAAACAGACGCCGCCCAATCATGAAAAACCTGCGTCTCATTATGCCCGCATCCATGGAGGTCATGTGAACCAGTTGGACAAACACAATTCCCGCGCCTATCGCCTCTCCAGCACACCTTGGACATTGAATTGTCACAGTTACCTGCAATTGGATGCTGAATCTTGGAATCTTGGAGGCCGGAGAAGTGACGAGGCTGAGACAAAGCTGTTGATTTACTCAAAATCAACTGCTTATATATATATATTATGTATATAATATAACAGTGAGAATATATAAATATAAAATATAATATATAAAATATAAAAAATAAAAAAAAACATACAAAATAAAATATAAAATATAGAATATAAAGTAGAATATATAAAAATAAAATAAAAAATATAAGATATAAAATATGAAATATAATATATAAAATATAAAATATAAAATATAAGATATAAAATATAAAAATAAAATAGAAAATATAAAATATAAAATATAAAATACTAAAATATAAAATATAAAATATAAAATGTAAAATATATAATATAAAATATAAAATATAAAATACAAAATATAAAATATAAAATATAAAATATAAAATGTAAAATATATAATATAAAATATAAAATATAAAATATAAAATATAAAATATAAAATATAAAATATAATTTATAAAATATAAAATATAAAATATAAAATATAAAATATAAAATATAAAATATAAAATATAAAATATAAAATATAAAATATAAAATATAAAATATAAAATATAAAATATAAAATATAAAATATAAAATATAAAATATAAAATATAAAATATAAAATATAAAATATAAAATATAAAATATAAAATATAAAATATAAAATATAAAATATAAAATATAAAATATAAAATACAAAATATAAAATATAAAATGTAAAATATAAAAATAAAATATAAAATATAAAATACACTAGTAGTTGTACTGAAGTATATCTTACACGATTTCAGTATATAGTACCAGACTACTATGTAAAAGTTATCTTATAGAGCCTGCTTATATTGTATGCATACCGCCTTTGTTCCGCTCGGTATTTAATGGTCCGAAGTGTAAAAGTTCAGCTTACATTTGAAATTAGTTACAGAAATGTTTCCCAAAACATAAAAAAAAAACTTGGCTTAATTGGTGGAAAAGTTGACGATGCTGGGAACTCGAGCATCTTTGACGCAGCTGAGTCGCTGAGCTGAGCACTTAAATATCTCCTGGCTAGAGGCGGTATAATTACAGGTATTATCACACGGCAGCAACACCTACAAATCATAAAAGGGCGCAGCTCTTGGACAGCAAGTTTAGAGCAGCGGTGGCAGCATCCTCTAACTGTAGTCCATTGTTTGGCTAATGGAATTTTAACGTCAGACGTCGCCGACAATCGACCCACGACCCACGACCCCATCCACAGCCCCAGCCTCGTCCACGCTGTATGCCCATTCCAATTGGCTGCGGCACCCTCCATGTCATGGATGCTGGCTGATGCTCAAAATCCACATTGAATTAATGCGAATGTGGCGTTGGCTAAGGATAGAGCTGGGGATGTGAATGCGAATGTGGATGTGGATGAGGCTGAGGCTGTGATGGGGGAGGGGCTGTGACTGCGAGGAAGCGGCGCATGCTGCTAATGTGGCGCCTATTAGCGGGCGTGCGAGCGAGAGCAGTTGAATATCCTCAACGCGCAGTCGTTCTTGTCCTTGTCGCTGGCTAATCCACTGGAAACATCATTTTGAGCACCTGTTTAATTGCGTTAATCACCGGGAGCAAACATTATTTGCCATGCTGCTCCGCATGATGATGTGCAATGGACCTTAAAGGTGACGACCGAAGTAACTAAGGGAACGAAGGGCACTGGGAGGGAAGTTGTATCTCGACCAGTCGCTTAGCTTAAGCGCTGCACATTAGAATGTTAATTTGATGTGTCTTGATGCGCAGCTGGGCCAAAGTATCTCCGGGGGTCATTAGCCACGAGCTTAATATCTCACTTACAAATGCAACTATTTGCATTTTTATTTGGGCTCGAGAGGGCCAGGGAGACCAGAGTAGGCAAATGGTAAGTAAGAGATGAGTAGAAGTAGGAGTTTGGAAAGAAAGTAAAGTTCATTTAGTTACTCAAACGAAACTGAAAGTAAACAAGAAAGAGAGTGCTTTAATCGAGATTGCCCGCCTAGAAGATACCCTATAGCAGATGCCTCGACGGCCAAGGAGATCAGAGGAAGCAAATGGTAAGAGAGAGACGGGTAGAAGTAGGAGTCTGGAAGGAAAGTAAAGTGCATTTAGTTACTCAGACGAAACTTGAATCGATGTTGCCCGACTAGAAGATACCCTGAACCCTACCAGAGCTACAACTCGTGCTCTAGCCGAAGGAAATCAACTAGGAAATACCCTGAGCCCTAGCAGAGGTCGAAAGATAAACTTATATATTAGCTCCTAATACAGTGAAATCCGGTTATAACGACACTCAAGGGATCGTCGTTATAGCCAGAAGGCGGCTACGTATAAATTTGCTCATGAAAGTTTGTCTGGGGACCAGAATCTTCAACGCTATAACCGTACAGACGCTATAGGCGTCATATCAACAGCAGACTTGAAGCACATAGCGTTACCTAAGATGTCCATCATCTTCTAAAGCCCATTTCAAATATCTTTCATTTAGCAAGAGCTAAAACCAAATTTCCGTTATTTACTTATTTAAAAAATAAGACAAAACTAGAGTAAAACTTGGAATAAACTAAAAACTATAATTGTATAGCCTAGAGAAATATGCAAAATTGAAATACATATATAAATTATTAATATATATATAAAAATTAATATTATTGTTCTACATATATAGAGATGATGTCCATGTATCAAAAAGTCATGTGACGACTCGAAAGCTTCGTCGAAGAGCACTGAAACTCACAGAGACATAACTCCACAGGAATCGTGGAGCACAGACTGTTGCAGTCGATTTGGTATACAGCAGGAGGAGTATATCGCTCCATTACAAACTCCTGTGGGGGCTTGGCCCAGCTCACGGTCAAGATATTTGACACATATTTGTAAAGAAATCGAATGCTCGGATTACTTCCCATTTAGGACACGGCTGCAGTTGCTCGAGAAACAAAATTCCGCTGCTAAGCTCAAGTTATGGCATGTTGTTAAGGCTTTGCAATTGCATGTCGCACATATAGTTAAGCTGGACACACACACACACACACATACACACACGCGCACACTATAAGGGCAAACCCGCCCTTGTCATATTTGGGCAACAATTTGTTTGGGCTTACTTTGATGTGCCCCGCCCCCAAAGGTCGTTAAAGTCGGCTATCAACGACATCGAATCAGCAAAACTATGTCACAAAAACATTTACCGTTTATTTCATATCAAATATTTCATTGTAATCCAATAAAAGTAGTTAAAAATATTTAATGAGTCATTCCAATTTAAAATTGTTAAACAATTTATAACGTCTTTCTCTTAATATATATCTAAAAATATTTGTATATACATATTTGATATCTTCTCTCGGAAATAATAGTATTTAGTTAAATTCAATGAGTCATTCCAAAAAAAAAAAAAAATATAAAAAAAAAATAAAATCATAATCGCGCTCTCTCTCTTATTTTCTCTCTTTATATACATATATATATATCTCCATATCTTTTTATATATGTATATGCACATATTTGATATCTTCTCTCGTAAATATTATTCCTTATTTATAGTACATCTATAATTCACAGAGATTGCAAGTGGCTTTCGTGATGCCTGATAGTTGCTTAGGTTGGGCGAGGATTGTATTCCAGCTGGAATAGCTGGAACATGATGCCCAAGCTTCTATATTCACATACATATCTTATATAACTATGCTTAGCATTTATAGTAGTCTATATGTTTCACTTCTGCCTAGGTCTTTTCGGGTTGGGCTGCTCTAGCAGGAACCTCTCCTCCTGTTCCTGCTCCTGCTGCGCGCTCTGCTGCTTTTGCCGAAGTTTTGGTGCACCATTGCTGCACTGGACTGGCCACTTGATGCCCGCCAAATTTGCATATTTTTCAAAGATATGCTTCAGACGTGTGCGCAATGAGCTCTGATTGGCGTACGGCAAATTGATGGCCGCATATGCCCAGTTCTTGACCACCAGACTGGGCTTGCACACAGCCATATTGATCTCGGGCAGAAAGCGCGTCGGATATACTCTGTCGGTGGACTCCAATACAATTTGGCTTATGGTTTTTGGTATCGGCATTTTCATCTGTGGGCCGCCCGCCTTGACCTGGTTGTAAATCTCGTCCAAGTGACGATAATACTTATGCGACAGCAAGCAGCGATATTTCGGATCGCCCAGCTTTATCAGCCGCATATCTAGCACCGCATGCTGCAGGCACAGTCGGCACTCGGTAACTGCAACAGATCAGATCAGATCAGATCAATTTAGCGTGACAGACCTTGCTTACCTGAGGTGTTGAGTTCATTGGCAACTTTCAGCCAGGCTCTTCGCTTCTCTATGGTGCTGGATTGGCTATAGGTATGCGGATAACAGAGCATCAGGCGGCTCAGCTGAAACGCATCGATGCTGGGCAAACTCTGGCTGAACGTGCACACTTCAGTCAAGGCCGGCTGCTGTATATCCAGCGGCTGGAGCTGGGGCAGTGTCTTCTTTACTTGCTCCTGCTCCTGCTGCGGCTGCTCCTGCTCCTGCTGCTTCGGCTTCTGCTGCTGCTGCTTCTGCTCCTGCTGCTGCTGCTGTTTTTGCTGCCTTTGTTGTTTCTGCATTTGAGTTTAATCTTCATTATAAGAAACGGCCGAATCTTCTAAAATTCTCTAGTTAGCTTCACCTGCATGGCAAACAGCTCCTTGGCCTCGGCCGTCTCCCACGGCATGGGCGAAATGTTGGCCAATGAACTAATCACACTGCCGGAAGAATTTGATTGCATTAACGCTTCGTACATGCTGCAGCGCTTCACCTCCTCCATGAACTTGTTGTGCACAATGTAGTAGAAGGGCTCCAAGGGATGATAGCGCATATTCACTAAATATTTCAGCTGCTCCAAGGCATGCCACCAGTTCTGCGGCCAGGGATTCTCAATGCCACGCTCCAAGTCCTCCATATACGTTTTGAAGGCAAATTTAAACATGGCCCAAACGTCGCGATGATTTACTGAACAAAGAAGACAACATAATAATAATACCAAGTCAAGTCAATCCTGGCCAGTCTTGGTCAATCTGTGTGTCACTCACTGTGTGGAAAACGTTCGCGTGCCAATTGCCACACCTCCTGCCGCTCCTGTTCGGTAAGTGAACGTGGCGGCTGCTGTACGGCCTGACTGTCCTCTCCCGGCCGTGGTCGTCGCAGATCCCAGTACAGATGCTCATACCCGCCGAAGAACTGCATCAGGGCCGGCAGCTTGTCTTTGTATTGCATCCATTCATATTTACGTGCAATCTCGTCAAATTTACTAAACAATCGATTCGACCTCTCCCACGTCTTCAAGCTCCCTTTGAATGGACTCATCAGATTCGACATGGGCGCTATCTCCGGGAACAGACTAATGTTCGCCGCCAAGAAGCGCCATATGCCGCGACACATTTGCTCTGCAAAGGACACACAAATTCATTAGAGGGCTCCAATCGGAAATGTATCATATCCATATATCCTAGCATAGAGCCAAGTTTGTATTCTTAAGCAAATCTGAAGCCTCTAGATCCCATGGCATACAAGTCATACAAGCTCAAAGGACGAAGTAAAGCTATCGAGTTTTATCGATAACTAGGAAATGGGATGAGTTATCGAAAAAACATAATTATCTCGTGCTGCGTATGCTAATTAAGAGTATAGCTTCGAAATATAAAATTTGTAGCTTTTGTGGATCACGAGATCTACGGATGGACAGGTGGACATTACTAAATCAAATTAGTGCATTGCTTTAAAAAAATACATAAAAGGATTTGCCACGCCTTCTTCTGCCTGTCACATATACATTTACACAAAAACCTCTTCTCATTTTTTCTGGATTCAATGGGTATGAGAATAGCTTTAGTTGAAGAATGCACGACTTATGTATACCCATTATTAGCACTTGCCTGGCATGTGAAACTTTCTGGATAGATGCTGCCAGTACAGGGAACTTTTGAGCATCACATCGGGATCCGTGCTGTGGAGTTGCGGTATGGCCATCACCTCGCGGATAAAGAATGCAGTGCGTGCCATGGTCAGATTGGGTAAAAAGGGTACGGCGGGGCCCTCGGCATAGATGACGGGTCCCATGGTCGGATGGTTGCGTATCTCAACTTTCATTTCCGCTTCCGACGGCGTCAAATTTGATGGGCATGCAGTCACCTTAGCCGCCTTAGCCATGCTGATGGTGCTCACACTTGATGATTTACTGGGAATGTTGGAGGGATCGCTGGGCACCGAGGTTCGAACTCCAGATCTGATGGCATTGCTAAGCATCGTTGAAGGGCACGGCGGGACTGTCTTGGCCACTTTCGGATTTCTGGGAATTGTGGCCGCGTTGCTGGGCACCAAGGGGGGAACACCAGATGGTTCTGTTCTCCCTCTGCTGGATATGCTGATGGCATTGGTGAGCATGGATGAAGTCGACGGCGGCACTGAATTGGCCATACTGACGCTCACTCCCAATGGAGTACACGGTGCGTTGCTGGGCACCAAGGGGGGAACCCAAGTTGGTTCCATACGGGCGCTCACTCTTGATGCACTGCAGCTGATGCTTATGCTGGGCATCAAAGTCGACGAAGGGGCAACCAACTTGGTCATGCTGCTGCTACTGCTGATGACGTTTCCGGATAGAGCCGGATTTCCGCATATTTCATTGGGTGGCATCTTGGCAAACGTTGTTGGTGTCAGCTTGGGCATTGGCATCGATGCGGCGCCCTTCGACGACCAAATTGTCTTGTTCCTGAGCACGTCCATCGGCCGTAGCTTGGGCAAAGGCGGTGTCACCTCTGCAATGGCCACCGGCTCCTGGGCGGCTATGGGCGGCATCATAGCACTAGCAGCTGGAGCAGCTAGAACAGTTGGAGCAGCTGGAGCAGTTAAGACAGCTGATGCAGTTGGAGAAGCTAGAGCAGCTCGAGCCGCTGAAGCAGCTAAGACCGTTGGAGCAGCTAGAATGGTTCGAGCCGCTGGAGCAGTTGGAGCAGCTAGAAGAGCTCGTGCCGCTGGAGCAGTTAAAGCTGCAGAAGCAGTTGGAGCAGCTAAAACAATTGGAGCTGCTGGGACAGCTGATGCAGATGAAGCAGCTGGGATAGCGCGTATAATGGCGCCACCAATGCTATTGCCGGTGAGATTGTTTGTGCTGGTGCTGCCAATAACGGACGGCGATAGAGGTAGACTCGTTTTGGGTCTAACCGTCACCTGCAGACCACTGCGTGCTGGAATAAGTCTCGCACTGGACGAACTGGGCACGCTGGGCCGTGTGGCCAGCTGGACAGTGGCCAGTATGGGCAATGCCAGAGGATTGGGCAGCGTGTCCATATATGTGGACTTGGTAACAGTTACCACAGGCGGCGCTGCAGTCGGCGGCGCTGCAGTCGCTGCGGCAGTCGGCCGTGTCTTAGGAATCACAGTAATGGCTGCCGAAATGTAGGGCAAGGTATAGCCGGTGGTGCCAACTGCACCACTGCTGCTGTTAGCATTGATGCTGGTGTTGCTGGCAGTGGTAATGGTGCTGGTAGTCCTGGTGGTGCCAGTGGTGCTGTTGCTGGAATTGCTGTTGGTGGCGCTGAAGATGGTGTTGGTGGATTTGCTGCTGCTGCTGCTGCTGCTGTTCTTGGGTATAGCAGAGATGGTGATGTTTGGCTGTCGCGAGGCAGGCGGGTAGTTAATGCCCAGGGGCAGTGGTGTCACCAGCGGTGCCACCGCCGGGGTCGTCTCAGTGGTACCCACATCACGCACCGTCACTGGGGTCTTGTCTTGCGGTGGGTTTGGCTTGGTTTGCGATGCGACTTTGGGCACATTATTGACGGCATGCTTTTGGGCATAACGCACCGAGCGCGAAGTCAGCAGCTTGTAGAGGCAGCCAATGATGTTCTCAAAGAACCATTTGTCCTGCAGCTGATAGCCAACTTTGCGCATCTCGGCCAGCTCCAGGTAGAAGTTGCGCAGCACCAGCCAGGTGACCTCGCAGCGCTGACTGCTGCACTTCACTTGGGCCGCAACACGCGACCAGAGTTCCTTGTAGCTGGTAGTGTCCTGTGCGGCCATGTCCTGCTTATCCTCTAGCAATTGTGGGAATTCCGGCACCGTTTTGAGCACATTTATCAGATTGACAATAGTCCGAAAGTGATCGATGGGATCGAACCAGCCGTCCTTCAAATACAGCGACAGCTTGCATACCGTGTTGGGTGTTTGCCGAATGTGCGGTTCGAGAAAGTTGAGCTGCGTCAACAACTGGGATCTATCGCTGCTGCTGCTGTTATTGGATTGCAGCAGCTCCCACTCGTAGCGCGTCTGTAGGTGCAGCCAGATCTTCATCAGCTTGGTCGCCTTCTCGCGCAGCTCATTGGAGATGGCGCTCCAAATGAGGCCGCGATGATGATAGTTCTCGTAGTCGTCGTGCTCAGTGTCGTAGAGCTGAGGATAGGCGCGCACGGCTTCAATTAGACGCTGCTGATCCGGGCTTATGTTATACTGATCCGAATATTCCGCGTCTACGTCTATGATGGGTGGCTGTGTATTCACGATGGTGACATCGTCGGTCCCACTCGACACATCCAATGGAGGTCGACTGTTGCGCCTCTTGGACTGCAGCGGAAACTGGGCCACATGCGTGTACAGAAAGATCAGTTCCTCCTCGTGCAGCATGATGGGACGTGGACGCGCCCGACTGCGACACGCCTGCACCTGCCGGCGATAGCTGCGCAGACGACGCACATGCCGCTGATATTTGTAGCGCAACTCTGCCCAAGTACTGATGCATTTGTTAATCTCCACTGACATCTTCCGTGCAATGTCCTGCCACAGCTGCTCCTTGAACACATCATCTCTGAAGCGCCGATGGTGTCGGTTATAGAGCGCCGATCTCTTTCTCACCAGCCGAATGAGGCGTCGCTCCGCCAGATATGTTCCCAGATTATAGGCGAACGTTTGGCTAGAAGAGGTGTCGACGCTGTTGCTCGGCGTTCTCGTTGTTGCGGGACTTATGACCAATTCCCCGGTGTCTTCGTTGAGAACCAGTGTTGGCTTCGCTTCGTCATCGTCTGTAAATGTGAGAGTTATATACCGTGCATCGACAATATTATAGAGCTGCTTACCCAAAATCTCCAACGGACTTGATTCAGCATTCGCAACTTTTGGAGTCGATGCAGCTGGCATTTCAATAGTTGTTTATATACAACAATTACAATTTGTTAAGTACACCGCGCCAACAAATCGCGTTGCTTGATCAAACAACAATAGAAATAAGAGCGAAATAAAATAAACAAATAAACACATAAATGTGCGATTCCTAATGTCATGCTGCCCGGTTGTCAATTGAGCCACGCATGAGACTGCTGCTCCGTGATGCCCGGAATGGAGAGAATATATACGAATATTGTAAATCAACACATGGTATTCGAATATTAGATTAAATGATGCTGACTGCCAACAAAAGTCCCGTTTGCTACTTTGCGGTTTGCGTCTAAGAGTATTGCGCGCAGAGAATAATTCAACGATAACGCCACATTCGAGCTATCGCCTGCCCATATATATCGATAGCAATTTGCTGTGTTGAACAATGCCCAAATAGCGCGTAAGTTGCGCGCGCTGCTTAAATTCAATTGGGCGAAGAACAAAAATAACGTATGAAAAATTTAAAAACCATTCGCAACATTATTAAAGACTTTTTAATTGTAAAACTGACAAAGACTAGTTGGTCATACCTGGATATGTCTAAATTATTATAATACTTATCTCTGCTAAAACATAATAATAGTTTTGAAGAGAAAAATACAAAATAACTATAAAGCTAATACAACGAGCTGGATATAAGTCGACTATGGTCTTTTATTATTTTGAGACTAACATTAATTATTATAATTGATAGATCTATGCTAGAATTTAGAGAGAACATAACGCTCAGACTGTGGATATTAGAAACTTGAATAGCACAAACCAAATTATCAACATTGTATCACTGACTGGATGCTAGAACTAATCGTTCTTGTTTCAATACACGAGATGAGCCAATTTTTAGAAATTAATCATTTGGTATGTTTCGACTCAGAAATGTATTAACCGGCTATCCTTGACACTGACTGCGATCATTCACAGCGTGGCCCACCTGCTAGATGTGTGTATGCAAAACCGAACCCATTTCTATAATGTTATACAATATATGCGCATATACTCATATATTAGCTATACATAAGTGTAATAATGAAAAGAGCAAATTGAAAATGGAAAAAAGAAGCGAAATGTGTGGCAGCCACGGCGTGCGGCAGCAAGAAACGTGTTGCCATGGAAAGCACCAACACAAATCAATTTTTTTTTTTCAAGGTCAATTTTTGAAATGAAATAAAACAACCACAACAGCAACTATGCCTAGACATTTGTGTGTATGTTGTCTTGGCATAGACTCTAATTACGTATACATAACATTACAAGAACAAAAGGAAAAAAAAAAATAAATTAACAAAAAAAGTTTTAATGATATAAAAAAAAAATAAATAAATAAAGCGAATTTTAGTTCTACTTTCAAATTTTTGATGATTAATAATACATATACATACATGTATATTTTGGTTTTTTTGTATACCTGTTAACTGTTTCGTGTGCGTTACTTACCTAACTCAAGCTATCAACAGTTTTAGGGTTTCCCCATTCATACAGGTTATTCAAATGATGTTTAGGTTTGGTAAAATAAACACTGAATCAGGAACTGGTATCTTTGCATCAAATAGTATATTTAAAATTCTTTAACAGGCTAAGGTACAAAAATACTATAAAAAAAAAAAAGTACAATGGGCATGAAAAGTTTAAGGTTAGACAAAAAGGAAGGAGACAAACGTCAATAGCTCTATAAATAGTGCAGACCGTCTCTGTGTCAAAGGGAAACCCTATTAGTCGTAATCGACTTAAGGAGAGCAGAAAAACAATGTCTACTTGCTGTCATACGTAATACTGCGCCCAGGGATACACATACAATAATACGTTAATAATACCATAATACCATAATAGGTTAATAAAAAGTCACAAATTATAATGATTGATTGTCTCTCTTTATAGAGTGGGTAAATTTTCACAGTATCGAAACTAATTAAGCTACATATATCATACATATTCAATTAGTTTGCTATAAATTTGTCGATATCGAAATATGATTAACATAACTTAAATAAATAAGATTGTGTATCGAAGCGCAACAGTTATTGAATTCGAATTGCCATTTGAATTTGAATTTCAATATCAACTTCAATTCCAATACGAATTCGAATTCGAGTGCCAATTCGAATGCGAATTCCCATTCGATGTAGAAACGAAGCGAATTTGTTTGGTTTCCATCTCTGGATAAGCGTCGGCAGCGCTGCTGGCGTCGCAGCCTTAGTGGGGCTGCTCTACCTGTTGTTGTTGTTGTTGTTGTTGCCGCTGCTGTTGTTGCTGTCTGTGTGGCCGCTGCTTACTGCTCCGTTATCGCAGCGATTGCCGCTTGTCGACGCCTCGCGACGCTTCGTCCGCTGTCTTCGTATCGCTTGCCTGTTGTTGTTGCTATTGCTGTTGTTGTTGTTGTTGCTGCTGGGTGGTTGTTCGGCACCTCGTATTGCCGCCGCCAAAACATAGCCAATTCAGTTTGAATTCTGCGTTCAAGCGCTTTAGAACATTATTTTAAAAAGCTTGGCTTCAATTCGATCTTAAACTCTGTTTGTTTTTTTTATTGTTGTTGTTGTTGTTGTTGCTGTTTTCGTACTATTTGTTTACATTGCGAGCATCTGCCTGTTGGCGTGAGTGTGTGCGTGCGTGTCCGTGTTTAAAGAAATTATTAACTCCGTTGTTTAAACGTTCGCCGTTTATTTTGTGAAATGTATTTATTGAATTTTGTTTTATTTTGTTTCATACCTATCTCTCTCTCTCTCTTTCTGCCCCATCATCTGTTTGTTGTCGGTAGTCTCATCTTTCGCGAATTGCATTTGCAATTTCAATTTCCCACTGAATTATTATTTATAGAATGTTTTTTTTTTTTTTTTTTTTTTTTTTTTTTCTGCTGTGATTTTTGTCATTTCATTCACGTTTCGTGGGGCTCGCGAAAATGAAATGCATTGAAATGAGAGAAGAAATATAAAATATAAAATATAAAATATATATCAAACAAAATAGAGCAGAGGGAGAGAGAGAGAGAGAGAGTGAGTGAGTGAGTGAGTCTCATGCACTGCTCAGCGAATGGCACAGTACACACACACACGCACACAAATAGTAATATATGTCTTTATTGATCATCTTGCTCGCATTTCATAGCCAAATAGCGCGTAAAGCGATAAACGATCCAGAGCACATAGACGAGTACGAACGACCAGGAAGCCATGTGCACTTCACCGGTAGCCCACCAAATGTCATCGAGCATGTCGTCCGGCAGGATATTGCCCCGTCGCCAGGCGATACCCGTTCTCTATACACGCGGCACACACTATGAGGTCGGCTTCGATATGGTAAGCAGCACACAGCACACAGCACACAGCAATCGCACTCTTGCACCTGTCCACCTGTCCACCTGACCTCCTGTCCACCGGTTCACCTGTTCGCCTTTGCACCCTTATAATAGTGCATACGTACACAATACACATACAGAGGCACACGCAGTCTTGCCTTGGAGTCGAAAAGTCACGCAAAGCTTAATTAGAAACGTATCAGGAGGAGGGAGCAGCTGGATGGGCTGGGAGAGACCTCGAGCACACACTTGAGCTAGTTGCTAGCTAAATTTTTAAGTTAAGTTAAACTTTCAATTGATCCAAACAGTACAATTTTTAGATTGCTTATGCCTAGAACGGGGAAACTTCGAGCTGTCATTAGCTCAAATGGATTGCTTTGGCACGGCTACTGCGATAAATGAGTGAATGATTATGAATAATTAATGCGCCTAATTAAAGACTGATTTGTATTGAAATTATGATGATAATTCCAATACAAATCAAATTATTAAGCATTTCAAATGAAAGCTACAGAAAATGGACTCTAAAGCTACGCCAGATATAAATTAATAACTGATTTTGTATGAGGTTTTCAATCGATAACAGTTAAATGAGCATAGCTATCGACTTTTTGTATAGCTGTCGAGGCTCTGAGATCGATGAGCTCAAAAAACGGACAGATTGACTGACTCATATCAGCTTATCGTCATCATCAAGAATTTATGGGGTCTACTTCACCTCCTTCTGACCTGTTGCATATACATATCTTAATAATACCTTTTTACTCTGCTTTCCCAAAAGGTTCAGGGTACAAAAATAATAGAAAAAGCAAGGGAAACGTTTCTGAATGCATTCGAAATTGTCAATTCAAGCAGAAAATATACACTATATATATATGCACATATATTCGACTAATGATCTAACTTCTTTAGAATTGTGTAGTCGTAGCTTGCTTTAGAGCGTTTTTACTATAATTGCAGTAGTTATATAATCTGTTAATCAAATTTAGAATAATATTGCTCGTAATTGAGCACATTATTTCAATTATCATCTATCACCTATAAATCTATTGATAGAATTGAGAGGAAATTTATATATTAAATACAAAATCAACCAAGCAGAGTATTTAGACGTGGAGCATTGCATATAAGCCCTACCATAAGATTTGATACCAAGTGCAATTTAGCTAAAGAAAAAGGAATATAGTATATAGCAAATGAACAACTTTTTATAATGTTAAACATTATTTGAAAGTCTTGAGAGCTTTCTAAGCTCTACTAATAGCTCTTCAGCTAATCTGCTCTGTATTATATCTATATACCTAAATGTATATCTATAGTGATATCATAAAAAGACGTTCAGATCTCTATGAGCTGTTGCTTTAATTAGCGCTGGATTCCAGTTGAGTTGAGTACTTGAGTCTATCTGCTCTAGCTTATCAGTTCTTGCAATTACAATTACATACACAATCACATACATACATATATACTCTCTCTATATTGTATGTGACACATAAAGATAAAACGCTGATTTTGATAAGCAGGGCGACAATCGGTTGTTGACTAGTTGACTGTAGTAATGAAGTCGTCTAACCCTTGAGGGAAATACTATATAGATTAAAGTCAATCTCTATATGTATATATGCTGGAATAGTAGCTGGCCGATTTAGCCTGCTGGTAGTCAGGTTTGGCTGCTTGTGTAGGCGTTGGCTATGCCAATTCGTGACCCAGTTCCTGTTTAGCCTTCACTAAACTCCAACACACACACACACACACACACAAACTCTTGCTCAGCCATTGAATTGGCTTTGAACCGGAATTGCACACAAATGGCCAATATCAAGGGCGCACCGCAATTAGCATGCAGGCCCGGAATTCAGACGCTGTCAGACGCTTCGCCTGCGACTCGAGGTTGTCAAATGGGCGAGGGGCCGTGAGGTGTTCCAGCCAAGGCAGCGAGCGTATGGACCAAAACTTACAACCTGGCAACAATAGCGACTAACAATAACTATTTATTCAAATTGTTGTTGCTGTTGTTGTTGTTGTTGCTAT